AATGAAGTTTTACTGGGCAGATAAGAGCTGGTATTTGATCTTTTTTTAAATCCGGACAGCGAAAGATTTTTATGTCACTATCTAATGTATTTTAAATTGAATTCACATTATATATGAAAGATCTTTTAAAATATTTAGGCGAAACCGAGGTAAATGAAGGGCATCAGCATGTATAATGTTCGAATGTGCTTGATTTTTAATTCATATTGTGAGAAAATTGTGGGTGATAAAAAAATACAACCAAATACGGTTTCAGCACCCAAAAATACATTAAATTTAGGTAAATTGGTTTGAAAAGATTTACAAACATTTTATTCGTTGGCCTGTGTTATTAGACTAATTAACTAATCCATCAAAGAGAGTCTATTATTATTCCTATCTATTATTATTCCTTGATATTTTCTCATTATTTTTAATTATTTTATTAGTATGTGTATTGAAAACATGAGACAAATGTATATAAGGGATTATCTACACATTTTATCAAATATTATCCGATATTAAAAAAAATTCTGCTTGATCGATATTTCATAATTGAAATATTGATGTATAATCGTACAAAGGGTATAAAACCCTTTATAACGCTTCCACAAAATCTTGAGTATGCAGAAACTGAATAAAATTCCATTTACTCTTTATTTGTTCAAGATTTCGTTCAATGACATATTGGCCCAAATAAAAAATCCTTTCAAAACCAGAAATTCTCGGGATTTTTTCAAATAAAAGCGCAAATCGCCTACTATAGCGGTCAACTCCTATTCAAACATATTTCGAGTAGGTACCTAGCTCTTACAAAGAAAGAGATTATAGATGCAGGATGATTTGCGATTTTCTAAGTATGTGCATGCCTTTTCCTAGTTCTTGAAGAACCTACCTGCTTTGTAAATGAGAAAAAATGAATGAACTGGTACTCAATTTAACTATACCGAGGAACTTGGTATTTTTTAAGATGATCGTTTTAAAAGCTGCTTACGTCATTAATTATTCTCTTATTTCTAAAAGTACTATTTATTTCAATTCACCTTATGAATAGAATTAAATCATAATTCACGATTCGTATTAGATGCAAGTTTAAGAATTTCACATATAAAAAAAGTATAGATACTTAGTAAACAAGTCAAATTAGCAGACTTATCTAATAATAATGAAGGTACAAAATTTAGGATAGAGCTAGACATTGGGATGAATGTTGGGAATTTCATTATAAATAAATGTTGAGATTCCTATCGAAGCTGTATATACTCAGAAAATATCTATTGAAGGTCACAGGTGTCAATAATAGGTTTTCACGTTTTTCAGGAGTTGGTGTTATGATGAAATTGAAGGGAAAAATTGGGGAGAAAATTGTAGATCATATTATAATGTTCATATAATTTTGTCCTTAGAGCCACCGTTTCTGACATACATATAAATATTCAAAAGGTGAAAAAGCTATATAATCTTATTGGGATAAGCCAGGTATACACTGGAAGCTTGTATCACACAATTCGTAATACTCAAGTAAACATATTTTCCTAATAGTTGGTACAAAATATTTCTGTATAATAATTATAAGAGTATCAGGTAAAAGGAACCCAACCTTTCACTTTATACTCACTTCATTGGTCTCCTATTCAATTTTCAGAACACGTGGCGTTTTTGGCGACAGAATTCTGCATTCGCGATTATTTTCTAAGAGTAAAGATCAATATTAATAACATTAATGTGACATCCTTCATTAATGGCCTATATTCAATCGCGCTATCTGATCAATTAAGGACTGTTCTTACCAGCCAGCGGAAATAACTTACAAATACTCATAACATGTCTCGGTACATGTTCAATGTTGAAAGGAAGGTTTATCGATAAACTCATATTGGTGAAACAAGCTAATATTAATTCCAATGTTCAATTGAAACAGCATTCTTCTTCTTCTCAGTTGTTCACTCTTGACAGAGTGGTCGTAGTCGTGTCTCGGTCTTGTACCACTGCGTTCCACGCAATACGACGCCACACTGCTCTATGTTTGCTCTAGAGTTTTCATTGATGCTGGAATACGTCACAGATTTAATCAGAGCTGTCCACCTTGTTGGAGAGCGCCCACGCGATCTTTTGCCCTCGACTTTTCCTTGGACCACAATCGTTCGATAAAGTCTTCGTTTCGGGTTATATGTCCAAAGAATTTGAGGATTCGCAGCTGCACAGTCGACGATAACCTCTCTTTGATGTTTAGCTCCGTCAGAATCGAGACGTTGGTTCGATGTGCAGTCCACGGGATTCTGAGCAAGCGTCTCCAGCACCACATTTCTAACGCATCAATTTTGCGATGATCTTGCATCCTCAATGGCCTTGTCAATAAAAATAATGAAACAGCATCAGATCAATCCAATTTGACAAATACAAGAGTAGCACTTGGCGAATATGTTAACTTACTAGTATTACTTACTGCTCGAATTTCAACCGGAAAAGTTATTCTACAAATCTCAAAATTAGTGAAAAAAATGTCTATCGAAAAGTGTCCACATCACGTACTATTTTCACAAGCAAGAATTGTCTGGGATGCAACACAAGTATTCTTCAGAAGAGGTGAAAAAACAGTTTGCAAGATGTTTGAAAACAAAATTTGATTCAATGGGATGAAGTTATTCAAATTCACGTTTTCTTCCTTCAATATAGAGATTTATTTTTTTTATTTATTTATTTAATAGTGTCGGCGTTTACTTGATGTAAATCCATTATAATTGAATATAAACTCAAATTCAAACACTTGAACTTATGATTTACACTTTATTGACTACATAGCATGACGCGTTTCGTCGTTACAAACGACTTCTTCAGATGCTCACAGAATAATTATTCTGTAAGCATCTGATGCTTAAGATGCTTGCAGTGCTTAAGATGCTTGCAGAATAATTATTCTGTAAGCATCTGAAGAAGTCAACGCGTCATGCTATGTACTCAAGTGTAAATCATAAGTTCAAGTGTTTAAATTTAAGTTTATATTCAAATATACAGATTTCTCAAAAAAGAGCTTTCTTAAACCTCTGGTTCTGCTCATCCACATCTCTGTTAGGTGATTTATCCAAATCAAGTGTGGTTTGGTAATCAACTGATCCAAAAGACTGGGGTTGTGGAGTTGTAAGTTGACTGCCAATAAGTCCTAACCAGGCCACATTTTAGTCTCCCTTGAGCTGGAAAACTCCTCAACATAAATGTTTGCAACCGTAGAACGGGAAAATACGGATACAAATCAGTTAGATTATGTTGTCCTCTTTCATGTACTAATTGTCGAGGTCAGTAGTAGTGCTCCAAAGTTAAACCATTAACAGAGGAAAATTCGTATGATACCAACGAGGATACATGCCATGCAGCGCTATCAAAGCTATTGCGTTGCACCCACCAAAAAGGAGAAAAAGAAAGAGGAAAACAACAAGAATATATTAATCACACAAATAATTCGACCAAGTTTCCGAAATATATAACGCTTTCATCATTTTCAACATTATTATCTCTTATTAGTCAATAGGTTTAAATAGAACAAGACCACAATAGACAGTAGATCAGGTCTACCGGGAAAACCACGTTAAAAAACTAAGTACACAGGTGCCCTTGAAACATGTGTGTATATTAATATGTACACTTATATTATGTGCTATGTATATTAACAACATAACAAATTTTTAAATATTTATCTAATTTATAGTTCTTAAATTGTTGCGAATTTAAAAAGTATTCATACATTCATTAGTGCATAAAGCATTTTAATTTCCTCAAAAACTTACTTCTTTGATGAATTGTTTACAACACCATTCTTGAGATGATGACTCAAAAATCATACTGGTCATAAATTTTTTCCAGGTACGGGTTCGATGGGTATCTTTCAGCGTTCATTTATAATGGTAAAACAATTATTACGGTTTTTGTTTCTATGCGAAATTTTGTATAAATAATTTGAATAAAGCTTAGTAGTTTTTAATTTTCAATTTAATTCATTGACAATATTGTTTCACCAACACAGTGGCTTCATCAGATGTTTTCTAAAATACATGCGTTCGTTATACGTAATGTAAAATATTTTAATAATTCGTCAACATTTATAGAACTATTTAATGCTCTAATCCGTAACAAGATGGAGTATGGCAGCATGATCTGGCATCCCATTTACACTTGCCATCAACGCAATCTTGAGGCTATAGAAGGTTCTTGAATTTTTAGTTTGGAGGGAAGATAAAGTTTATCCACAGAGAGGAGTCAATCATAACGAATTATTGAGTCGATTTAGTTTAATATCATTCCAGGACAGGAGAGAAACTTTATCACTCAAATTTTTGTACAAATTACTGCACGACAGTATTGATTGTCCTCCTCTCTTGTACGCTTTGAAATTTCGTGTTCTTAAACCAAATTCTCGTACTACAGAATTATTCCACCTAGAGACACTAAAGACCAACTCGCTAATGCAATCCCCGATTTGGTTTATAGAGTCTACATTCCATAGTGTTGCCAATAATTGTGATATTCACTTTGACTCTTTAGAAGTTATTACTAGGAGTTATGTGAACAAAGCAAATTAACTAAGATTATTTAAATTAGATGGAGTTCTTTGTAATATTTCATTAAGTTCTATTAGTTATTAGTATTCTATTAGTATTAAAACTATTTTAGTTTTTTTAGATTGAGCTGTTTGTTAAATCTCTTTCATTTTATTCATTTAGTTATTATTCAGCATTATGCTATTATTTTATGCTATTATTAGGTATTATACCTGTTGAGAATAAAGAACTTATTATTATTATTGTATGTAGATGATAAACTAAACAGTTTAGATTATTTCAGTTTCGTTTATCATCTACATCGATGAAGTCACTATGTTTGCAAAACAACATGTTTTTTTTTTTAAATTCAGTGGACCTACAGTTTAACGCCGGTTCCGAACGGCCATTGGGCTGCTAATCGATGTACATTACCCAGCAAATATCATTATTTAAACTTCTCAAATCATCGACAAACAGAAACACCCATGCCATCAGCGGGGCTCGAACCCGAGTTCTACCGCAACATAGTCGGGAGTTCTACCGACTAAGCTACGGAGACAGGCGATCGTCATGTTTGACTGAATTGAAGAGAAAATTACAAACTACTTATTGACTATTACATAACTACTTTTATTCACATTATATTATTAAATTTTCATCAAGTATCGGCCCATTTTTGGATTTTGAATTTTTGTATATTTGCATGTCTAACTTGACCGAAGAATAAGATTAATTATTATCTACATGATCATCAAAAATATCCTTATTGAAAGAATATATTATTCGCCTATTTTGTTTTTGGAAAAAGTACCTGCATATAGAAAAATTTCGAAATATATAGAATTTTTGGGAAGTAGAATTTGGAATATAAGTAAGAGAATTCTTGTTTTCAGAAATATATAAAGACCCTAAAGGAATACTAAATAGTATGAAAATTTTCTTTCGTCATAATATTCACAATATCCTGAATTAATATTGACAAACATAATATTATTATTCCATATTCATCGGTAGACAGTCTAGACTAGTGCGTTCCGTATTCATAGGATCAATATTTAGCTGCAAATTATATGTGAGGTGCCATCTATGAGACCAATTCAGCACTATCGCCGACTTTGAGACAGAATTTTACATTATCAAATGAAATACATTATTTAGTTATACATCATACGTGAAAAGTATGTTCTGTGGGAACATTCTGCAGAAACAAAAACTAAAGATTGTCAATATAATATAATCAAGTATTCTTCAATAGGTAGGTACCTCATGATTATTTCAACATTGTATCCTTGTAGTATAAACACAATTTCAATAATTAAATTAAATTATCTACCCCTTTATGCATATATATATATAGATATATATATATATATATATATATATATATATATATATATATATATATATATATATATATATATATATATATATATATATATATATATATATATATATATATATATATATATATATATATATATATATATATATATATATATATAATAGATAAGTAATAGTAGATAATGCAGATTCATTCGATAAATGTGAAAATATGAATTGAGAAGGAGATCCAGGAATTCCACGTGGAATGCAGAGAAAGAAGTAAGTCGTATACCTACTATAACAAATATTATAAACATGCTAATAATAGTAGCACATGTCTAAAAACAAATTTTCTCAACAATTGCAGGGTGTTTTCATTTAATCATGCCTGTACTCTTTCCTAATACGTTAAAATTTTCTATATTCTGAAGTGAAGAAATAGATTATAATTATTTGATTCCTATATAAATCACATATTTATAATTGAAGAAGAATTATTAATAAATACAATTTAATAATCATGTAATTAATTTTGAAAAACTTTTTTACCTGGATAATCTATTTCATAATCTCTTATGAATTTTTTTCTAGGCCAGCATTTTCTAAATTTAGCATCCACCAATAGTTCGTCTTCATATGGCCGACTATTTACTTTGCTTTTTTACCTTTGGACGATGATCTTCCATTATGCTCGTCATTGAATGCTACTGAGTTTCAAGACGATCAAATCTTGATATGTATTTACACACTCACATCATGTCAAATTTTCAATTGAATTTTCAAGGTTATATCATTTATTTATTTTAAATATTCATCATAAACATAAATAATTGAATCATTATATGTATAACTGAAATGCTCCAGAATCCAGTTACATGATGAATATAAATCTGAAAAATTCAATAGATGTTTCTTAGTTGGAGTTGGTGTAATTTCAAAATAAATTTTTAACGTGAAGAAGCGCATCCACCAAATCAATAATACAGATGTAAGTGTTCATATGAATTCGAATAGAATAATATCATTATATAATATTGTCGAGTTCGTTGATAATTCGAATCTATTTCGCAATACGTAATAGACAATTTGGGCAACTATAAAGCTAGACACTTTCCATTTATCGTGATACACATATATACGTGGTAAGAATTAGAACGCAAGAATTGGTTGCAATAATATGAGCTTCACGTAAACTTAATTTAAATTAGTGAATCAACCTCCTTTTTCATAACACACTTTTTGTATATTGTCTGTCAATCGTGATTGTGAACACTTAATAAAAATAACCAGAAACAATGATCTACACTTACAACGCGAAGTATAGGTATAAGGAGTCTGAACGGTATAGGTTTTTCCGTAGTATTCATGTAAACAATATCAAATCCAGATCATAGTTTTCTTTTCTACCACTGGCTGCCCAAATTTTCATGACGTACCGATGTTATTATTATTATCAGACGTAAATACGCGCTGGCTCCCGAATGTTAAAATTATATAAAATTGTAATTAAATATAAAATATAACTTTTTATTTCACAGCTGTCAATAACAACAAGACTGCCGCTTAAAGATTCAAACGAGTACGTCTTTAAAAGTGGCGCGCCCTACCAGCAAAAGACTTGTTCTTTAAATTGATGTCATTCTCTGTTCGGACTCCTTATATATCTATACTTCGTGACTTATAATCTCAAATTATTAATACCGGCTTTTTAGGTTACTTAATTTGACGACGTTTAGCAACCAATGTGACCTTGACAACGCTTCTTTGTTACGTGATGTTCTCTAAAACACCATTTCATTTCTAAAAAATAGTTACGTTGAAAAAGAAGTAAAATTTACACTCTTATATCAAATTAAGCTAATTGATATTAGAATACATTGACAGATATTATTAGCTATTGACAGAAAAATATTTTTTATGCCGGATAAATACCATAAAGCTAGAAATTCCCATTTTGTAATAAGTATCATAAAAGATCTGAAGAATATTTTATATCACTCTAATATCTAGAAATCAATGAACGCTGTCCATCATACAGAGTGGACAACACATGTAAAAAAAAAAATAAAGCGCTTGCTCTATTTCATAAATCTTTTTCCTTCTATGAATTTTGTATTTGGTTGACGATGAATAATTTCTAGTATAACAGATAAGTATGGCTACCTTGTTGAAATTTCCAGTGTGTATTTTTATTTTACTGGTCATGCATATAAATGAAAAAATATTTATGAATAAGGTCAAGCGTTTGTGGCTTATCCGCATAGACTCATAACTTTATATAGCCCCACATAAAATAGTCTAGCGGTGTTAAATCACAAGATCTTGCAGGCCAATTCACAGGTCCAAAACGTGAAATTAGGCGGTCACCAAACGTGTCTTTCAATAAATCGATTGTGGCACGAGTTGTGTGACATGTTGCGCCGTCTTGTTGAAACCACAGCTCCTGGACATCATGGTTGTTCAATTCAAGAATGAAAAAGTTAGTATTCATGGCTCTATACCGATCACCATTGACTGTAACATTCTGGCCATCATCGTTTTTGAAGAAGTACGGACCAATGATTCCACCAGCCATAAAGCGCACCAAACAGTCAGTTTTTCTGGATGTAACGGTGTTTTGACATACACTTGAGGATTATCTTCACTCCAAATGCGGCAGTTTTGATTGTTGACGTAGCCATTCAACCAGAAGTGCGCTTCATCGCTGAACAAAATTCGCTCGATACGTATTCCGCACAGAACCATTATTTTCGAAATGAAATTGCACTACTTGCAAGCGTTCTTCAGGCGCGAGTCTATTCATGATGAATTGCCAAACCAAACTGAGAATAAATCACTTCTCAGCTGTTGAATCGGTAGCCATCTTCAACAGTAATGCCAACTTAAAGTTCTATACCTCTAAAAAACACCCGTTTTCTTACTTATGAGCACTCAACAGCCTCACTATAATTAACTATTATTATATTAATTAATTATTCTAAGTCATTTCTTTGGGAAAATATTTCGAAAGTTAGAATAGTTTGAACTATTTCAGAGAAATATCTTCGAAAAATGGATGAAATTCAATAATGAACAGCTGTGTTGAGTTAAAACAAAACCTGAAGTTCAAAAGCATCGAAGGCAGGATTTTGAATATTTACTAATCTACTATGGATTACGAAAATTTATAGTTTTAATTGCTAACCAAGATTGCTTCGCGATATATCTTCTTCTTGTTTATATTATTCTAGAAATAAAACAGGAAATGGCTCTTCAAATGATTCCACTATTGCAATAAACAGCCTATATATCCATTTATATAATCTTAGATTCAGAAACTTCAGCCTTTTTACCACTAAATGTTGTTATCCATAATTTCCCAGTGTTAAAATAACCGTCGGCGATGAAGAAGTAACAATCTTTCTCGCTGTGCTCATGGTTTATTGAAAATGATCACAATGAGGAACGACTTGATCCAAAAATGGACAATAAGTGGACTGGTTAAGCAAGTGCTTCGAATGAAGCAGGATGGGATGCAAGGTAACCTTCTTGCGAAACCTTGACATTGCAAGGAATTGGTCAGTGACCTTTCTACATTCAGTTCTTACAGAGGAAACTATCAAACGTTCAGATTAAATGTAAATTTTTAGGATTGTTGAATTGAAGTAACAGTAATAAAAAGCAACTAGGTTCAACTTTATGAATATTGTGCAATTTGAGTGAAAATACCATTCGTATATGTTGAACAGAATAACTGTTCGTGTTTTATTTGGTGTGATAAAACAATAAAAAAATTTGAGGATTGTTTCTTGTTATTTTTACATTTCATTTGATCAGTCTTAATCAAGAAATAATGAATATTTCACTTACATGGAATATTTACGCATTTCCGCAAAAACAATATTTTGCTTGAGTATAATTTCCATTAAAAGAACCATAATTTCAGTGAATCAAAAAAATAAATAAGCTCAAATTAAAATTCCCTAAAAGTAGTAAAAAAATTTTAAAATTAAAATACTAAACATATATATATATATATATATATATATATATATATATATATATATATATATTTTTTGCCTCCCAAAAACGCTTCATCCTCTCTGAATGCTCTTTCTTCCGTTCATCTGTCCACTTTACTCCAGGTTGACGAATTACTTTTTGCTCAAACTTTATATGTGCGATTTTATAGCGGCATTCAGTGCGATCTTCGAGATTTTTTATATTGATCTGTTGTAGATCCTCTTGGACCTCTTTTAGC